AGGGGGTGAGGTCAATAGTAGACAGTCTAAGGTTAAAGTTTTTGGGGTTTGGGGAAGAAACCACAGAGTCAGGTAGAGTATTCCAGACATTGACCACTCTGTTGCTGAAGTCGTATTTTCTGCAGTCGAGTTTGGTGCGGTTAACCTTGAGTTTGTATCTATTGTGTGCTCTTGTATTGTTATGATTGAAGCTGAAGTATTCATTTGCAGGTTGGACATTGCAATGTATGATTTTATATACTATATTTAGATCGGACCGAAGGGGGCGTAGTTCTAGGTTTTCTAGGTCTAGAGTTTCAAGTCTGGTGGCACAAGGTATTCTGCAATGAGTAGAGGAGCGGAGAATTCTCCTTGTGAAATATTTCTGGACTTTCTCAATTGTGTTAATATCAGATACATGATATGGGTTCCAGACTGATGAGCTGTAGTCAAGTATAGGTCTAGCAAATGTTTTGTATGCTCTAGTTAGTAGTGTGATATTACCAGAGAAGAAGCTACGTAGGATTAGATTAACAACTCTTAATACCTTTTTGGCTATGTGGTTACAGTGGGCTCTAGCACTTAGATCATTAGAGATGAGTACTCCAAGGTCCTTGACAGAGTTTGGATCCTCAACAAGGTCTTGACTATTTAGCTTGTATTTTATTTTTTGATTTTTTTTGCCAATATGTAAGACAGAGCATTTATTTGTTGAAATTTGAAGTTGCCATTTGATTGACCATTCTGATACATAGTCAAGGTCTTCTTATTGTCTGTGGTGTTGAATAGCTTTATATCATCAGCGAAGAGAATGCAGTTGTTCTTAATATGATCACAGAGGTCATTTATGTAGAGTATGAAGAGAGTTGGTCCTAAAACACTGCCTTGGGGGACACCACTGTTGACAGGTACAGAATTTGATAGGACGCTCCCAAGTTTGACCATTTGTTGTCTGACAGGAATGCTTCTATCCAGTTATGCAGGTGTCCAGAAATACCATAAGATTTTAGTTTTAGTAGTAGTTTGTCGTGTACCACTGAATCAAAGGCTTTATAGAAGTCTGTCTAGATTGCGTCTATTGCTTTGCCCTGATCGAGTTGTGTAGTCCATATGTTTTTGCAGTGTAAGAGTTGCAGATTACAGGATAGGTTTTTTCTGAAACCAAATTGTTTATTAGAGAGTAGGTTGTTTATCTCTAAGTGGAAGATAATGGATTGGTTGATAATTGATTCCATAACTTTACAGCTGATGCAGCATAAAGAGATTGGTCTATAATTTTCAACTAGGCTGGGGTCTCCCTTTTTGAAGATGGGGATGGCTGTGGCTTGTGACCATAGGTTACGCGAGGAGCTGGTCCTGAAAGATTTTTCAAAGATTATGCTTAGAGGTTCGGCTATGGCTGTGGATAGCTTTTTTAAGAAGTAGGCACATACTCCGTCCGGTCCAATAGACAGAGATGGTTTTAGCTTGTGTAGTGCTTTTTCATCATTGTCTTTTGTAAAATCGATATGTATTAGATCATTGTAGTTGTAGTGGCTCGACTAGGAAATACTGGGCATGATCCATTGCTGTTTACAAATACTGAGCCAAAGAACGTATTAAATAGGTGGGGGCTGTAATGGTGTCGTCATTGCAGTCTTTAGCATTAGGTCCTTTCAGGGGTGGGATGGACCTTGAGTCTTTTAGTTTGTTGTTCACAAAATTGTAGAAAGCGCTGGTGGAATTGGTGCATAGAAGGTTTTCCTCTTGTTTAATGTGATAATTGGTGCATTCAGTCTTTATCTGGTGACATAAATTTTTGTATCGGCTTTTGAAGTTGGCAATGTGACCATATTTGTTTTTTTGCCAAAGTGATCTCTTTTTGGATTGAAGCTTCCTTATTGTTATGGTTAATCTGTTTTTCCTGGTTTTGGGAGTTGTTTTTGCTACATATAGTTTGATGACTCTCTTGATTTCTAGTAAGAATATGTTGTAATGGTCTTCAACAGTATTGCATCCAGTGAATAGAAATTGCCAATCAAGGGAAGAGAGATTGTTGATTATAAGATCATAGTTGCCTTTTTTGAAGTTATAATTGGGGATTTTGTCGTTGTGATGATTTTTGTGTGGACATATGTTGAGACAAAAGTCAATCACGTTGTGGTCACTGTTGGAAAAGGGTTCTTTGTATTCTGTATATTGAATTCAAACTATTGCAGAAGATGAGATCGAGGCAGTTGTTAAGTCTAGTGTTGTTGGTTACTAGTTGTTCCAGTCCCAGATTTGTTACAGCATTGTAGAAGGTTGCATGTATGGGTTCAGTTAATATGAGGTAGATTGAAGTCACCAAGAAAGATAAAAGTGTGTGGGCAGGATGCTGCCCATGTTAGTAGTGTATTTAGCTTGTTTATGTGTTCGATGTCATAATCGGAGGCTCTGTAACCTAGTAAGAACTGAAATGTGATATTTAAGATCAGTTCACAGATAATGGTTTCAGGAAGAGCATGCTCTTGGGTAACTTGGATGTTTTTTTAGATGTAGGGACTTTTTATAGAAGATAGCAATACCACCTCCTCTACGGATTTCACGATCTGATCGGTAAACATGATAGTCTCTTACTGAGGTAATGGAGTCAGGGGGAGATGCGTTGAGCCATGTTTCACAGACAGATATAATGTCGAATTTGGCCATATTTAGTAAGAGGAGAAATTCAGGTATTTTATTCACAAGGCTTCTTGCATTTGAGTAGCTTGCATTTAAGGCCAGTTGTGGTTGGAATAGAGGTAGTTGGGGGCGTGCGTGCCTAGTCTTGGGTGATGGTGGATGGATGACAAACCATCTTGGATAGTAAGGCTACCAGCGTCTTTGTACATTCGTCTCTTGTGGAAGTGAAGAGATAATAGGAAATTACCCCATTCCTCCTCCTCCTGGAAATATGGGGCCTTGGATTAGTTCTACTTCAAATATCTTGAAAATAAAAGATAAAGTAAAGTCTTCATCTTCATCTTGACTCCCTATAACATACCTGGATGCTTCCTTGCCGTTTTCTTGGGGTGATATGGAAGTGGGGTTTGCCACTCCTTTCTTCCAGGATGTTTTTCATGTCCTGGTTTAGCCAAAAAGCCGTGGACATTTTAAAAGGTCCCCCATTCAGATGCCAACCAGGATCAGTCATGCCTACTTTTGACCTTATATGATTTAATATTAGGCTTAACTTTGCCTTGAGATTTTCATCAAGCGATTGGAGTGCAAATGTCCCAAAATCATGAGCTGTCTAGTTACATTCCCTGACTTGTCACCTGCTTGGAGAGGTTAGGTGCTGGTGCTGGTTTTCTGGCTTCTCTGAATTTGTTTGGAGCAACTGAAAAAGTGAACCGCCTTGAACGTGGCTTAACTGGCCGTAGCATGCAGCCAGTAATTGGGGTAAAAAGGACTTTTCTTTCAACTTTCCAATTTTAATAAGGAACCCTATCTCCCCGGATTTCTTCAGCAGATGCGTCCTCTCACTGAGGGATCTCAAAGTAATAAAAGTCCCCAGGTGAGCAATAAATAGCTTAAGGACAGTCCTGCTACTTTAGACTTTCTGCCACAAGCAAGGATTTGGACACACCCTGCCTAAAGGTGACTTTAGTTCACTCACTGCGCAATCAGAGAATGCCAAGGTGGAATCCGTGGTGTTTTTCCTCACTTGTGCCGAATCATGGAAGAAACCTGGCCTGGCAGCTCCTTCTTTCCGCCCCAGCTCTGCGATGCTGCCTTCCTCTTTTCTGCCCCTGGTGAGTGAGAGAGGCTGAAGTTCTCCCCAGCTGCCCCTGTATTCCCTCCTGACAAAATTCTGAATGGTGGGTAAGATCCACAGGTGGGTAAGATCTCTTAGACTTTGCCATCTTGGAAGGGAGTCAGTGACTGCAGTAACTGAAACGGAGAGAGAGAGAGAGAGAGAGAGAGAGAGAGAGAGAGAGAGAAAGGCAGGAAAAGAATTGCACCGGGGCAGAAGACTCCATGCTGGTTTGGTGAGCGGGAGGAACGCTCTAGCTTGGCAGCGAGCAAAGATCCTTTGGGGGCTGAGTGATGGATTCTGAGCAGGCGAACCTTTCTCAAGTTCAAAAGGCTGACCGAGAAAGATAGGTTGTGGTGTTGGGCATAATATTCCTGGCTATCCAGAGTATTGCAAGTTCGAAATGACTGTTCCAGGTCTTCTCAGCGTTGAATAAAATATCTGCATGTCTAGAGTTTTGTGCAGAACTTGAGGCATAAACTGGGCAGTTTCAAGGGTGCTGGGACCCTTGAGTACTACAATTGTTTTTAAGTATCACCGACTTGGGAACTCTTTATTTGTGTTGAACTTCGGCCAGTTGACGTCAACCAAACCAAGAATAAAACGACTCTTCTGGTTTCATTTGTTATGGATTGGATGCGATGCAGCAGCATTGAGCATGGAGAGGTGCCCACCGGTGGACAACAAGTAGCCAAGTTTGGTTTGAGCTTCCTTCAGTTCTTGAGGTCCTTCAAACTTGGTCCCATCATTACACAGCCAGGTTATAACATTCTGAGTTTTCTCCCTCACTTCAAAGAAAGAAGTCAGAGTTTTTCCAGGTTAGAAATAAAGAGTTAGAAAAGCAGGCTGTGACCCTCATCTGTCACGAGCCACTTCTGAGTCCCCCTGGGCTGCTTTGGGACAAGTCGGGTAGTCAAGTGGTTGCTCTTAACCCAGCATCTCCAGAGTAGCGGCTTCTTACTCTCCTAGACCGGAGTTGCACCACTCCTTCTGCCTACTGGGTTGCCCTTCTTGGCTGCCCTTCTCTGGCTTTTCCTTGGTTTCACATCTGCTCTGATCAAAAAGCTCAAAACGGAAGGGCTTCCTTTTCATCTTGGCCGAGTTCCTCCATAGTCTGATTATGGCTTTCTGCTGGCCACTTTTTCCTTCCCTAGACCGGCATAGGCTACCTCTGGGTGCCCCCTCTAATAAAAACACGGCGGGGTGTGGCCAGTTCGTCGTCCCTTCTTTTCTAGCTAACTGGCCCGACTCCTTTTCCTGGCAGCACCGTCAACTCCTGAAGGACAGTTTCATGGTGGAGCTGGTGGAGGGATCTCGGAAGCTGCGTCACGTCTTTCTCTTCACGGATTTGTTCCTCTGCGCCAAGCTTAAGAAGCAGATTGGAGGGTGAGCCCCCCGTGGGAGCAGTTATTGCGGGGGGGAGGAGCTGTGACTGGGGTGGGGCAGCAGAAGGAAGCCCTGGGAGAAGGTCCTTGGGGACGGACGCCCGGGGGCAAAAGTAGCATTTCAGAACTCTGTTGGGGGTCTCTCTCTTTCTAAGGGAGGAAAGGGAGCTCCACTTTAGAGCCCAGGTCCTGACCAACCCCCAGGTAGACCTGCAGCGTTGGAGTTTATGTGATGTTTTTGAGGCAGAAATTGCAAAGAAAGTTTGCATCATTGGAAAGTGATGTTTTTATGAGGCATCCCCAAAAATCCCTGCAGCTGCCCACGAGAAGCTTCTTTGCAACCAAATCTAACACGTTTTTATCGGTTTTCCAGGGAGCGGGGTGGGGGGGGCGTTGAGTTTAACTGATGGGCTCCCAAGGCCAGGCTCAGGGCTATCGAGGTATGGAAGGAGAAAGGGGAGCAGTTTGAACCGTGTGCAAGAGAGAGGGGGGCCCCCCTTGCCCAGCTGCAGGCACAGCCCCCCAGAGCCAATGCCTGCGGTTGGCTTCCCCTCCTCTCGCTGGGGGCTGGGGACGGATGAGGTCAGGGTTGAGCCATTCACCTTCGTCCTTCTCACCTTTGCAGGAAGAGCCAGCAGTATGACTGTAAGTGGTACATCCCGCTCTCGGATCTCAGCTTCCAGATGGTGGATGACTCGGAGACGATGCCAAATGTCTCTCTTGTGCCAGACGAGGAGCTGGATGCCATGAAGATCAAGATCTCCCAACTCAAGAGCGACATCCAACGTGAAAAGGTAGAAGGAGTGGGGTGGGGCGGGGTAAGGGGTAGCAGGCTACCAACTCTTTACTACTGGACAGACAGACAAACCTAGATTAAGTAATGCGTATTTGCTTGGGGACTCTGGCTCCTGGGAATGCCTAGAGGGGCCGGGTTAGCTAACCACCCTTAAAGCAAGCAGGGCAGCTGCACCACTGCTTTCCTCCAAGGCAGGTTAGCCTAATGGGAGCCCTGCACACAAAGGCCGGCCGGCTTACAATAGTTTCAGCTATGGTTCAACCGGGAATGCGGAGCGCATTTGGTGCTGTGGAAACCTCAACTTTTTAGTGGCCAGGAGTGCAACAGAGTCCCGTCGTTTTCTTTGTGCTTATCTGTATGACCACAGAGGCAGGAAATGACCTTCCTCCTCCTCCGCCCCCTCAGAGGTGGGAGTCCACATTTTTTCCTACACGCTTCATGCGCGCACAGAGCACTCAAAAACCGCTCTCTCTTTCAGCCCTCGTGAGGTGAGCCGTTTTTTAGCTCAGCTGTGGCGCAGCAATTTGCTCTGCGGCACGAGTCAGCTGAGCTAAAACGCAAGGGAATATAGGGCAGGAGAGGGCAGGGGAGGGTGGGCGGGGTTGAGCTGGGCCAGCCAGAGGAGGTATTTGCCGGTTCTCTGACGACTCAAAATTTCCCCTACCGGTACGTCAGAACCGGCCCAAACCGGCTGAATACCTGAATACTCTGCGCCCCTCTCCAGACAGTAGGAAATCAGAGCCCTGATTGGTGCTGCTTCCAGAGGAAGGAGGACTCGGCCTAAGAAGGCCCGATGGGTTGTATGGAACCAGACCCTGCTCAGACCCCGTGTCGTCTGAGGAAGCGAGAGGCTGGGTCCCCCGCCACCCTTGAGTTGTGAACTCAATCTCTGTCTGGCCTTCTCTCCCCCTCAGAAAGCGAACAAGGGAAGCAAGAACTTGGAGCGGTTGAAGAAGAAGCTGTCCGAGCAGGAATCCTTGCTTCTCCTGATGTCTCCTAACATGGCCTTCCGAGTGCACAATCGCCATGGCAAAGTGAGTTGGTCTCCCAGATTTCTAAGCTGTCTTTCTGGGTTTCTCTCAGAACCCTCCGGTTGGGCCTGGGTGGCCCATCCCACGCGCCCATTTCCCAGGTGCAAAGAGTTATTTACGGAAGCGTGTGGCGCCCGTCCCGAGATCAGGAGCAAAGGATGTGGCCTGTCTCTTGAGCTCTCCTCTTGAAACGCCGTCACCGCTTCCTGGTTCTGCAGCTTGGCATTGGTGACTTCCTCTGCCTTGGCCTGCTTGAGATCCGGGCACAGGAAAGGCTGCCTTGGACGTGACACGGAAGCTCCTCTTCTGACCAGTCGTCCCGGAATTGGGCACCTCTGGAGGGTTTTACATTTCAACCGTCCCTGGCATGGAATCCCGAGACACTTGGCTTGCTTCAGCTGGGCTGTAATGCATCAGCCCACCAGTCAGTCGCCTTTGGCAGGGGGCGGGGGGTGTGTCTGGCTGGGGGGGCAAGCAGATTGGCACTCTTAACTTCCAGCCAGCCCCCCCTCAGGGCTTTGAAAGGAGAGGGGCTTGCCGCAGTCAAGCCTGGTCCTGGGCTCTGGGAATCGTGTCAGGAAAGATGGGCACCTACGTTACTCCCAGGTGATTTTAGCCTCCTGTTCAGCCTCTACTCCAGCCCGTGTCCAGTCTGCCTGGCCAGAGCAGCTGGAGATCTCCAGCCTTGAGGGGCTACAGGACTTCTAGGCTGGAGATCTTCAGCCACTCTTGGCCAGGCAGACCAAGAGGAGATGCCACTCTGTAGCAGGGTCATGGCTCCTGTGCCACCCCACCAAGCTTCTCGCCCTGGGCGTCCTCAGAGCTCTGACAGTCGCATCAAGAGATCCGCCTGCTTTACAGAGCGCTCCTTTTCTCCCCACACTTTTATACAGAGGTAGTCCTTGACTTACAATAATGCATTTAACAACCATTCAGAAATGACCATGACACTGAAAACAGTGGCTTATGACTGGTCCTCACCCTTATAACTACCATAGTATTCCTGCGGTCATGTTCCCAGAATCCAGGCTTTTGGCCAGAGTTGTGACAGTTGTGGCACCCCAAGTCACGCGATAGGCCTGTGTGACCTTCCCAACTGCCTCTCAACAAAGTCAATGGCAGAAGCTAGATTTTCTTAATCACGTGATCCAGTGAGCAACTGCAGTGATCGATCTAATAAAAAGGTTCTGATTAGCAGCAGAATCTCCGGGCCCGACTGTGGCTGTAGCAGTAGCAATAGCCCTTAGACTTCTGTAGTATTTTTACAGCCCTTTCTAAGCTGTTTACAGCCTGTTTCCCCCAGCAATCTGGGTCCTCATTTTACCCACCTCAGAAGGACAGAAGGCTGAGTCAACCTGGAGCCTGGTGAGATTCGAACTACCAAATTGCAGGCAGGTGGCAGTCAGCAGAAGCAGCCTGCAGTACTGCACTATAACCACTGCGCCACTGTGCCTCATGTAAGGCAAAGACTGTCTGTATTCCCCAGAAGGATATTAAATACACTGATGAGTCCATTGCAAAACTTCTGGGTAGAGAATTTACCCAAAATTATATGAAACAGAGTCCTCAGAGTCTTGCTTCTCATGTTTATATACGTTGTGGCTATTATTTCATACTCTTCATTATTGTTTGTGGTGTAGTTTCTGTGTAGTAGATTATAGAATAGAAAAGCTTACGCATCTTGCGATCCACACATCATACTTTAATTCTTTCGGTAAAGTCGAAGCACCAGAGGCTGAGACAGGAAACTTCTAGCGTAGATTTTGGACATGCAGCATTGCTGGATAAAACCACACAATTTGGGGATTGTGGTTTCTCTGTGTTGCAACCTGCTTCTTCTTCTTCTCCCTTAGAGCTACACCTTCCTCATCTCCTCGGACTACGAACGGGCCGAGTGGCGAGAGATCGTCCGAGAGCAGCAGAAGAAATGTACGTGCCCCGGCCAGATCCTCTCCTTGTGGGTTGGCCAAGTGGCATTTGGGGTGTGCCAAGGCCGGTCCTTCTGCCCAGGGCGGTGCAGCGCAGGCCAGTTCCTTGCATGGGCTGGGGGAAGGGCGAAGATGGAGGTGGGCTTGACTGGTCCCTGCTGGCCACAGAAGTCTCTCCTAGCGCTTCTCCTTCCACCAAGCCTCACGGGTGGGCGTCTGGCTCCGTATCCCCCCACCACACTGGCCTCTGGGGTGGGCCAGGCTTCTTGTTGCAAGCGAAGGCTCCTTGTCCCCTGGGCCGAAGGCTTTGCATTGTCCCCCCAGTTGGAAGGGAGTGGAGGGGGGGTCCCAGGTCTTCCCAGCAGGAACTCCCAGAGCCCCAGACGGCCCTTTCCCGCTTCCAAGCCTGGGGGAGCAAAGGAGTCTCCGGGCCCCCAAGTGTGTGAATCTCCTCTGACCTGCAGGCTTCAAAAGCTTTTCGCTGACATCGGTGGAACTCCAGATGCTGACAAATTCTTGTGTGAAGCTTCAGACGGTGCATCACATTCCCCTCACCATTAACAAAGAAGGTGAGTGTGCGAGACGGGACCGACCCCTCCGACCCTGCCATGCACCGATCTCCTGCGAGCTTCGCCCACCGCTGAAGGGAGCCAGGCCCCCTCCGCCCAGCCCCTGCGGTGACCTTTGGGGCATGAAGTCAAGGGGGCTCCTGGAGTAAGTGGGCTGCCCTCCTCCCCAAGGAAGGGGGGCTGGGAGGAAGGAGGGGCGGGTTGGGCCTGGGGAGGCGCCCATGGGACGGGCCCTCCTTCCTCCCGTTCTGTGGGGAAGGCCCCTCCCTGCAGTCCCTGGAAAGAGTTTGCCGGCGCCTGATGATAAACAGCTACAGGTAGTCCTCCACTTACAGTCATTTCTTTAGTGACTGTTCGAAGTTACGACAGCACTGAAAAAGTGACTTTCCAACCAGTCCCTTACCTTTAAGACCTCTGTGGTCACACGATCCAAATTCAGGCATGCATTTGTGACGACATGGTTGCCGTTGGTGGTCTTCCCAACTGACTTCCAACAAGCAAAGTCAATGGGGAGAGTTGGATTCACTTAGCAACCACATGATTCACTTAGCATGCAGGGTGATTCACTTAATGGCCAGCACAAAAAAAAAACCCTCATAAAATTGGATTTGATCCACTGAGTGGGCACCTCACTTAGTGGCGGTGGTTCCGATCCCAATTGTGGATGGAAGTTGAGGATTACCTGTAACCTGATCAGTGGATTTGGGAAGGGATTTTGAAAGGTTTGTTTAAAACAATTGGAACACTAAAATTTATAGAACGAAATTGACGCTTTTGCGTTTCTCAAGCAACAACGTAACGGTTACCAAACCTGGGGACTTTGAAGGTGTAAATCTCGCCCCTCCCTCCCTAATGTGGAATTTCCACTTTGCTCTGGGGAGCCCCATGGAGCTGCCCCCATCGCCCCCTTGTTTCTCTCTGACACAGATGACGAACCCTCCGGCCTCTACGGCTTCCTGAACGTGATTGTCCATTCTGCCACTGGCTTCAAGCAGAGCTCCAGTGAGTGTAGATGCCCGGCAGGTGGGCCAATGGGACGGGCAGGGTGCCCTCCTCAATGCTTAAAATCAGGCCTGAACTTCAGGTCTGGTTTACAGTCCAAGCGGCCGGGGATGGGTGGGGGCTCAGTGGGAGAAAGCCCACGGAGCATGGCGGAGGAGCGACGTGCCCTCCTGATCCGAAGGCTGCCCAGTGCAGCCTGTTGGGTAGGCCGAGACCCCCTGCAGCCCCAGGGGACCCTTACCACAGTTGTGGCCTCTGCCTCTTCAACAGGCTTGTACTGCACCCTCGAAGTGGATTCCTTCGGGTACTTTGTGAACAAGGCCAAAACCAGAGTTTACAGAGACACCGCAGAGCCCAACTGGAATGAGGTAGGTGGGAGCAGTGCTGGCAGCAAGAGGATCTGTGCACCTAAGTGGCTGAGCTTTCAGGCACTTCCTTCTTGCCTTGTGCCCTGGCTGGAGGTGGGAGGTGAGGGGGTCCTTTCAGGGTTCAGTGGACCTAAGAAATCCTCCCTTGGATGGAGGGAAGGAGGGGGCAGCAGCCTTCCTCCAAATAGGGAGCATTGCGGAATAAAAGCCATTTGTATGCTAAGGCAGGGGTCCCCAACCACCGGGCCGTGGACCGGTACCGGTCCGTGGAACATTTCCTACCGGGCCGCCGGTTTGCTGGGTGCCGCCATCTTGTTTGACGAGAAACTGCTTCCGGGTGAGCTTTTCCGGTTGGAAAGCGGCGTTTGGGTCCTGAAGGAATCCTCGCGCCTTAGTTTCATCGAAGGGGGGGCGGCTTCGAACAAAACTAAGGCGCGAGGATTCTTTCAGCACCCAAGGCAAGGTGAGCCGAGCGACCGTCCCGAAGCCATCCCGAAGCCCATCGACAAAGGTACAAAGGAGGAGTTGAAGGTGGCGGGGAGAAGCGGGGGACGGCTGCCTGGCCGGTCGCTCGGCTCGCCTTGCCTTGTCATGCGTGTTGATGCCGGTACCGGGCCACGGATCATTTTGTGATGCCGGTACTGGACCGTGGCACAAAAAAGGTTGGGGGCCACTGTGCTAAGGCACAAAATTTTGGTTTCGTAAGAAAACCAGTAAGGCTGATTGACAGATCAATTACTCTTTAGAATAAATGGATCTAGTATTGCATTAGATCCAATCCAGTATTGAGCATTGGGAGGGGGGGGTTACAAGCAATTTCAGGACAATAAATAAACTGGTAGTAAGTATGAATTAAATGAATAAAATGATTGGGTGATATATCTTTTTAAAAAATCTTTATCTTATCCATGTCTGTCTTAATTTGTATATGGTGCCCCTGTCAAAATGGTTCTTCTTTGCTGAGTTTGCATGACGGTTTTATTTTTCTCAAACTGTTTTTATCGTGATTTAACAAAAGGCATTTCCTAGCCAGCCGTAAAAGTGAGTAACCGACTTCTGCCCCTTGCCCAGAAAAGGGGCTGCTTGCAAGCTGTGTTGGCTGGCTGGGAGACGTAGCACACTTGGTCTCAGGTTCCCCAGGGCTCCTAGTGAAGAAGGAGCTGAGCCGAGGGGGTTTGAAGGACTTTGGATTCAGCCGTGAATCTTGGAAAGAAAGCCGCGAAGAATTGGCAAAATATCCCAATTTGAGGCTGGCGCAGTGCGAAGACCTCACAATGCTTTGGAGGAGACGCCTTGGCTGTTGTCTCCTGTCCAAAGCTGTAGAGTTTGTGTTCCTGAGGGTCATTGCAGGACCTTCTGGAAATGGAGAGTTTGTGGGGGCTGCAATGGAAAGACCAGCCTGAGCCCCATTGCCCCATAGCTCTTGCTTTCTTCCCCGCAGGAGTTTGAGATAGAACTGGAGGGCTCCCAGACGCTGCGGATCCTCTGCTACGAGAAATGCTACCACAAGAGCAAGCTCACCAAAGAAGACGGCGAGACCACGGACCGCATTATGGGCAAAGGCCAAATCCAGGTGGGGGGGGGGAAATGCCGTGGCTTGGTGGGGGGAGCGGTTGACCTTGGAATTGCATGCCAATGAGGAGGAGGAGGAGGAGGCGCGTTTAATTTCCACTTAACCTGAAGTGAAATTGCACATTGAGGTAGTCCTTGGCTTTAGTTTACTTCATTGTCATTGCCCCTCGTACAAGGAAATTAAATGCCATTTTCAGTGTACATCCTACATTAAAAAAAACTATAAAAATAAAACAAAAACACACATCCTTCACATTCTATACAACTGAATTGAAAACCCCTCAGACTGCCTTAGTATTACACTATACAGTGGAATTCAGTATGGTTCCTGTTCTGCAGGGGTGAGATTCACAAATCCCAAGATTTTTCCTGGTGGGCGTGGCCTACTGGAACTTCCGAGGGGGGCGTTTTTCGTCCTCCCGAGCCTCCGTGCAGACTGGCCTGCATCCAAAACCAGCTGTGTGGAAGGGAGGGGTGGGCGGGGCCAGCCAGTCAGTTCAACTACCAGTTTGGCAAACCAGATGTAAATTTAACATCAGTTCGCCCGAACCGGCTGAATCCCGGCCCTGCTGTTCTCGGATAGAAGCTATTTTTCAGCCTATTTGTGCTTGTTTTTATTATCCTGTACCGTCTGCCAGATGGTAATAGTTCAAAAAAAGGGGTGCCCAGGATGAGATGGACCTTTGAAGATGTTTTGAACTTTCTTAAGGCAGCAGGAGAATGTTTCAAACTTCCTTAAAGCTCTTCCAAAGAGGGGAGAGGGCAATTGCATTCTATACAATTAATATTGCATTAATATTGCCCTATACACCAGAATTCAAAAGAGCTACTGCCCTGGGATAGAAGCTGTTTTTCAGCCTATTTGTCCTTATTTTTATTATCCTGTACCATCTGCCAGACGGTAATAGTTCAAAAAAACGGGTGCCCAGAATGAGATGGACCTTTGAGGATGTTTTGACTTATGACCGTGTTGTGGCTCCGATTCCCGAGCCTGTGCTCGGGAATGAGAATGAGGAAGAGGACTTGGAAGATGAGGAGGAGGAACTGGGAATGCCTTCCTCCCCAGGACCTTCCTCTCTGGCAATGCCTTCCTTCCTGATAATGCCTCAGGTTTCATCAGACAACCAAGAGGAACAGCCTGAGATTAATCAGGAGGAAGGCATATCGGAGCAGCCCCTGACAGGGAGTCAAGAGGAAGAATGTTGGCTTGATCCTAAGCAGCGTTGTAGGAAGAAACGTGAGCAGCAACGTAGGAGGCGTGGGAGGGTCAGAGAGTGAGCTGAGTCATTGAGCCACACCCCACAGGGGATAAAAGGGGGTGTGTTTTCAGCTGGAACTTTGTACGGGACAAAGTTTAATCTTACTTCAGGTTTTCTTTGTGAATGATTTTTGTGGTCTGCCTTGTAATTTTCTGTAAGTAGCAAAGTCTCTGGTTTTGGCCCCTTGAGTGGAGGGAGGGGTTTAATACTGGCTCACTGTGTTTTTCAGCTGGACCCCCAAACCTTGCAAGACAAGGACTGGCAACGCACGGTCATCTTCATGAATGGGGTAAGGAGGCAGGTTGGTGGAGATCCTCAACCACGCAAGTCACGGTTGTCCCAAAGGTGCTTTCTTCTAAAAGGCAACGGGACTTCCTTGGGTTTTTTTTCCCCTTTGAAAACATTTCACTTCTCATCCAAGAAGCATCTTCAGTTCTTCAGGTTTGCACACACGTTACGATGCCGCTTGTCAGAATTAAGTCTGTTACCTTTGCTGAAAAGAAGCAGTCAGCCATCTAACTCCTTATACGGACATTAATGATGAATAATAGAATCACCTTTGCTCAATTATCCCGTTATAACTCTTTAGTCTCTTATTTGGAGAGCAGCTTATGCCCAAAGAAACAATACCTGGAAAATCATACTAAAATAAAATGAGCAAAGCAAGGACCGATCAGAGCTAAAGCCATCATCATAAAAGTTATTTATACAGGGAAGACGGGAAACTGACCTTTTATGAAATATTACTCTGTACTGTGCAAACACAGAAAAATATTTGCTGACCTACTGCATATTTTAATTAAAAGAAGCCTTTTTAATTGATGATGGATTAGGTTTTCTTGCTTAGATGCTTCTCTCTTTTGTAGCTTTGCTGTTTCTGTTCCTTCTGGGCTTAGTGGGTGAAGAATGCCAGAGTGGCCCTCCTTGGCCTGAGCACGGGGGCTTCTCCCCAAGGCCCCCTTCTGCTGCCTGTCCTCAGCAGCCCCCGGGGGCGGGGGGGGGGGGGCCGGCATAACCTGGAACAAGGAACTGAGAGTTTCTCTCTTTCCAAGGTCGAAGTGAAGCTCTCCGTGAAGTTCACAAGCAGAGAGTTCAGTCTAAAGAGGATGCCATCTCGAAAACAAACGGGAGTATTTGGAGTAAAGATTGGAGTTGTCACCAAGTAAGTTCCTTCCTTCCTTCCTTCCTTCCTTCCTTCCTTCCTTCCTCCCTCCCTCCCTCCCTCCCTCCCTCCCTCTCTTCTTTCCTCCCTTCCTTCATTTGCTGTGGGGATATTTTAAACTTACAACCAATAAGTTGGGCTGAGAGAGAGAGAGAAATCCCTTTTATACTTTCCTCTTCCTGGTCCTGAGAATTAAGGCCCACAGACTAGAGAGAGCACAATAGGTTGTTTTGGGGGCCCAACAATCATGGTTCACCATTTTCCACCAAATATCTGAAGGACTTTGACCCCCTTACAGGAGCATGGTCAGATCTCAGTTCCTGTCACCTCACAGTTTTGTCTCCTAGGCCCTTTTGCACCAACACACCAGCTTTTGGTGAGGAAGGGTTGTCCGTTTCCTCAGCTTTGGCACGTCCGTCGACTTCGGTCCCTCAGCCCATGAGATCCTCTGCCTTGAAGTCCTGCTCTCCTTAGCCAGGAGGAGGACGTGCTGCTGCTGCTGCTGGTGGTGGTGGTGGTGCTACTCTTAAAGCAGAGGGGCAAAGAGGGTGGGCTGAGGGGACATGGGGCCCACCAGCTTCCATTTCACGGCCTCTGGAGCAGCAGTGCTTTCCACACGCCAGCTGAGACCTGCAGGGCCAATCAGCTGAGAGCAGTGGTGGGATTCAAAAATGTTTACCACCAGTTCGGTGGGTGTGCGCGCATGCGCCAAACACACACTTTGCACAGGCGCAGAGGCGTTTGTGCAGGCGCCAGAGGCGTTCCAACTCACCTCCTGCAAGTCTGCACGATGCCGGTCGCTTCAGCAGCTGCCACGCAGAGCAGCTGCGCTTCAAATTCAGGGGGTAAAGGGGAGTATGGGAGCCCAAGAGCAGAGCAGTGGAGAGAACTGATTCGGTCTCCGCTGCTCATCGGCGCTACCGGCTCAGGAGAACTGGGCCGAACCGGTAGAAATCCCACCACTGGGCAGGATTGGCCCTCCCAATCCTGTGCTTTTCTTTCTCCTCTCAGCTGACCGTCGGAGGCTTTTTTCCTCCTCTCAGCTGATCATCAGAGGCTTTTTTCCTCCTCTCAGCTGATCGTCAGAGGCTTTTTTTCCTCCTCTCAGCTGATCGTTGGAGGCTTATTTTTCCTCCTCTCAGCTGATCATCGGAGGCTTATTTTTCTTCCTCTCAGCTGATCGTTGGAGGCTTTTTTTCCTCCTCTCAGCTGATCATTGGAGACTTATTTTTCCTCCTCTCAGCTGATCGCCAGAGGTTTATTTTTACTCCCAGTTTGATCCACCACCACTACTCTGGAGGGAGTGGGGCCCACAATATTCTTGCATGCTTTGTGGAGCTTATAGGGGGAAATGGGCACCTTAGGCCTTACAGGCCTTGGGGCCTCATTTGCCCCCCTCAGAAGTCTTCCAACCTCCCTAGAAGAGATTCCTGCCCCCATCACTCTGCTGAATCCCTCAAGCTAACTGAGGATGCCCATTCTCTCCTTAAACATTGTGCTAGCAATGTTGAGAAAGTGTTACTAAATCGATGGATATTTAGGGGGGGCCCGCCCAATTTTAATAAAAGCACACCAAAGAGCTGAATAACAAGTCTAAGTAATTTGGACTTCTGACCTCAAGAAGTTTTGTTTACTATCTTCCAAGTCTTTAGCGGCACAAATTTCTACCAGGAAGGGAAGATGGGAAAACGGTCTTTGATCCATAAAGGGATTTCCTGTGTCCTGGTGTAAGCTTTCCAGAAAATTTATATTCAGTATTTCGAATAAACCAAATGATGGTTTATCTGTATTTTTCTTCATTGTTCAAACAGTCACAGCATTAAAGTTGCTGAATAAATAAGATTCCTGACCTTCTGGAGCAAATGCAGTGAATTATTTTGCTGTTATTGGTTATGCTGGGCCAGAAAAGAGCAGGATTCTCCTTGCCCCAGACTTGCTAATGGGAGGAAGAAAATGTTTTATATTTTGGGCAAAATTCTTCCCCCTGATTCTCCATAGCGCCGTATTGAGAAGCCTTTCTGCTGCTGGTCTGTAGGGTGACCATTGGGTCGAGCTGATGGCTCCTGCCCTGTGGGACAAAAGGCTGTTACCCCAAGCAGCCCCTGTTTTCTCTAACCACTTCCTCCGTCTTCAGGAGAGAGCGATCCAAGGTGCCTTATATTGTGCGCCAGTGTGTGGAGGAGATTGAACGTCGGGGCATGGAAGAGGTGGGCATTTACCGGGTCTCTGGAGTTGCCACAGATATCCAGGCTTTGAAAGCTGCTTTTGATATTAGTGAGTATTTACTTGGGACGTTTCCTATTCTACTAAGACGAAATAAGCTCAATGTTTTTTCAACGCAGCCCATTGCTACGGTCAGTCACCGAAATCTGGCCAGAAGAGGAGATGGACCATCTGTCCATCACACGTTGTTCTTTGCTGGTTTCTGGGAGATGTCATAATCTGAGATATTTTGCATATTGTTGCTTCTGCTAGGCTGCTCAATCCATCCAATGGTTCTGCTGCTCAGTTTATTCCTTGTCACCATTTGTCACATCAGGCGTTGCCATTAAACCAGATGTGGAGGCCACAGGATGAAACAAATTATAATTTTGAAGCGATCATTATCTCTGGCAATCACCGTTTTCTTAAATATGGAGAAGTTGATTAGTTCTTAACAGCCGCACAAAAGAGAGGAGGGGGTGTAAATCCACAGAATATGTTTCTCACATTTGGAAACTTCCTGCAGTTATGACTGATGTGAGAGAACATTTTTGCCAGCTGGAGCATGCAATTATCCTGCCTAAGCAAAGGACTTCCGTTTCTTCTTGCAGATAACAAAGACGTCTCCATCATGATGAGCGAGATGGACGTGAACGCGATTGCGGGAACACTCAAACTCTACTTTAGGGAGCTGCCAGAGCCTCTCTTCACAGATGAACTCTATCCTAACTTTGCTGAAGGCATTGGTATGTAGTGGCATTGTGCAGGTCCAAGGAGGAAGAACTGGGCAGCTGCTACTTTGTGGTCAGCTAGCAGTGGGAAGAGCTGGTATTACTGCTCTCAGGTTCAGCTTATGGGTTACACATTCACAGCCATGAAAAATTGCCACACTGAAATCACATACAACTGAACACTGAGGCAATGTGTTCTTTAGAATAGTGGTTGCCAACCGGTGGCCTGCAAGAAAATTTTGGTGATCCGCAGAGAAATGTCACCCCCAGAGCACCCGCCAAAGCAATTAATCCAGGCTGTGCAGAACACAAGGCTGCGCCACCCTAGAAAGCAGGAAATGGTTGGATTTCTTGCTTTCTAACTAAGCTTTAGATCTTAGAACCTTTCTTAGGACTGAAGCTTCTATTATTCAGTGCAGACTTAGGTAGCTGATGGCAGAAAGATAGATCTCTGAGTGAATCTGTGATTTTGGGAGCAACTCAATTTGCCTGCCTGCTTTGCCTGATTTTGGGTAAAAGTTGCTCTTTTTAAATAAAAAATTCGATATTTATATACATGGTGTGTTGTAAGTTAATTTTATGCATTTGCTTGCAAGTAAATTTTATGTGACAGACAGGTAGCCAATGGCAGAAACGCAGATCTCTGAATGAATCTGTGATTCTGTGAGCAACTCAATGTGCC